CATTATACATAGATGTGCTGCTGAGGAAAACTGAAGCTCCATTTAACAAATTATCACAACTCTAGCACAGTGATTATGTTTCAAAAGTCCTGATATTTGAGCATGATTCAGTTTAATTGTAGCATTAAAGCACTATGGGCTGAAGTGAATATCACAAGCTCAGTGAGGTTCTTGGGTCGAAATGTTAAATCAAAAGCCTGGAAAGATTGGTCCACTCCAAACTAGGGCCTAATTAGAGAGTTAATCCATAAGGGAGACATAACAGAATATGATACGTAGCTCGCTGTCAGTGTGTATCCTTTTTCTAATGGTATAACGTTACATCTAATTTGTATTTTATACTTTTTATAGGGACACATTCAATGGACATGCAGCAGTTATTGCAGATGATACATTTTATGTGCTATCACACTGTGCACAATATATTCATATAAAAAGCTCTGCTCCGGTTATTAAATTTGTCCTCACAGTTTTTATTTTCTGTCTACTTCTATGATATCCACAATGAATCTGCTCCTGCTGGAATGCACATATTGGAGCAAACTATGATTGTTTGGAGATGCACTGTACAAATATACTGTATACCGGCTGGTGTATGCAAATGAGCTGCAGCAGCTGTAGAGGTCTTGCCTCAAGGAAAACAATAGTCCTGCCAAAAAAAGTATGAGCGTATGAGAGGAGATATTAATTTAATTAATGTTTATGAGATGGATTGCCAATACCTTTTATACACATATTCACGATCCCCAGAGGATGAATGCTACTCACTTTGGTGATCCAGGACCTTTCAACTAGCACCACCACAAGGTCAAACATTTTTGTCCAATGTTTGGGTTTATAACCAAATCTGCAAAGCTATTGACATTCCCAGATATACTTTGTGTTTAGCGCCTACTAGCAAATGCTAGCATGCTAACATAACATGCTAAAATAAGATGTTGAACAAAAATACGCATTATACCAGCTAAACATCGGCATGGCAATACTGTCATTGTGAGCATGTTGGCATGCTGACATTAGCATTTAGCTCATGCTTGTGTAGACATCTCGTTTAAAGTGACTTTAATCAATATTTTTATAATAATGTATAATAATAATAATGACAATAATGTAATGTAATGTATTGACAATGTGAAATGAGTTGCTCGTAGTGATGAACCTACAGAGAATTATCACCTCAATCTGCAGTGGTGCCATTTCATTGCTCCGAAGGCCCGTTGCTCCTAAAATACACACTCTGGTATCACCAACTTACGTACGCAACTTAATGTAGTTTACATACTTATTTTAACCCAAACCATGATCTTTTTTTCTAATGCTTAAACCTAACCAGGTTGTTTTGATGCCTAAATCTGACCAAACTGCAATGTTTCACAATGTTAACCCCGTGTTTATTATTGTTATCGTGAAGACGTGTGTGTTTGTCTGAGCAGTGGGCTTTTGTTTTCAGGATAACAAGCTGTCGGACAAATGGGCTTTTAGTCCAATGGGACATTTTATCTGACCATGGGAGGCAGCTGGACTTGCGCGAACTCGCCAGGCTTCAAGCTATGCGCTTGTGTCTGCACACAGTGGTTACAAACCAATCAGTGTCATTTGATGAAATACTGGCAACTACGGCATAAGCTACTGACTTTATTCTTTTACTTTCTAATGTCTTTAATATAGCTCCTATACTAGCACTAAAGATAACTACAACAAACTGTTTTGTAACACCTCAACATGTCTTACAAGTCAAATCTTTTAAACACCACTAGTATTTAAAGTTTTAAATAATATAAAAAATACATTGATTGATGTTTTAAAATTGAGCCCTATCTAAAATACTTATTGAGGATTCTGCAAAACAGTAACACACGTTATTTCAGTGGTCTGTACTGCATGTTCTATTTTTGTGTTAGTGTCAGCAGCAGACTGTGGTTCCTATTAGGTGGGTGGGGGAGTCCAACTGTGTCCCACTGCTCGGTGGAAACAGAAGGAGATATTGAGTTTAGAGGCTCAGACGAGTGCTTGATTTGCTCTGTGTTACTCACCTTCACAAGGGATTCTCACTAGGGGGGAACTCACTCTCCTCCTGCTACTTCCTCCCCACTTCGCTCTATATCTGTTCCTTTGCTGCAATGCTGTGCTTCCCTTTCCTTGATCTTGGCAACGTGTTGTTTCAGAAGGTTCTTCTGATTGTCGAAGGCGCTCTGGCTGCTCCAGCACTGCAGCATCTGCTCTTCTCCCAGCTCTTGTCTCTCAATTTTTTTTCATTTCATTTTTTTTCTCTTTCTCACCCGCCTGCTTCCCTTTTTTCATCAATAAATCTTCCTCTTCTGCAGTTTGTCTTTGCAGTAACATATAGCCTTCACTTTTTGGTATGGCATCAAATACCATGATGTAATTTGGCAGCCTCACAATGTACAACTTCTTGGCTTAAACATGAAACAAGACTTGCATATTCTAACAATCTGCTCTTGAATTCAACTCAAATATGATCCAACACGATGCATTTATTTCAGTGCAATTGCAACATTTAGAACTGGTTTCTCTGTTTATTCTACCACCAGTAGTGGTGGTAAAAGCGCACCTTGAGGAGCAATAACGGGGAGTGAGAATCAATCATAAATCATACTGACAGCTGCACTGGTGAATTGTGTATTAACATAAATCTCACATTACCTAAACAACATGTTACTCCAAGCTACATCCTGTTTCCTTTCTCATGATGTGTATAATTTATACCGTGACTAACAAGTCACAGGAACCAGCAGTCTAACTATGACAGCATGCACAAAACAAAAAAAATCTAAATAAGGGATGTGCTTTTGGCGTTTTAAATGCATCATCCTGAGAGTTAAGTATTCCGCCAAAATATATGCCTCGGGCCAAACCCAATGGAGAGTTATTACTACAGGAGGGAAGTTGCATTGTCTGGTATGCCAGCAGGAGAAATACTGTGAAGACACTTCATTGGATATAAAATTCTGGTCCCATAGATTGCTTTATGTGTGTACACAGCCTTATTCAGAGCCAGAAATGTAAACTCATGTTTCTTTTTGGGTACTTTCACATTCAACAATGCTGCCCACAAATTCATTACCCTTGTATCAGCCTCAAGCTTTGCCTCTACTCCCTCATTCTGCATGTACCAGGAACTGATAAGGGGATTTAGTCTGTATTATGGAGCTCAAACTACATGATTGTTAAAGGGCAAAAAGGGACACAGCTGAGCAATGATGTTTCTCCTGGCAAACTCCTGTACAGCCCTCCTCTTGTTACACTCCTCCGCTATCATCAAGGTTAATTAAAAATTTCACCATGGCTTCACACAATTTTCAAACCACCTCCAGAAAATTTCCACAAAATGTGTCTCTTTCTTTTTCCTCCACCTCCACTACAGTTGCTCTCTCTCTCTTTTTGCTCTTCCACAAGGATCCTTTGGCCATCATTAGAACTTAATGAACTCAGTTTAATAATCAAGGGAATTAGTGGAGCCGAGTTCGGCAGTGGCGTTGCTGTATCCTACAGGCATTGTGGTGGTGGTGGTGGTGGCTCTTCCTCGGGTTTGAAATGAGCATCGCCCATGTGTAAAATGTGTTGTGTTCTCTGTGTCCCACACTCTGCTATCAGGGGGACATAATGGGATGTTCCACATCTTTCTCTAATTAGTTTCGGAGTGTGTTCATTAGACTTAGCAGATTTAGTTAACTTATGGGTATCTCACAATGGCCCAATTCCCCCAAGTGCACTGATGTCTGGGTGATAAATCATTTCTGTCTGCCGGTTGTAATTACACAGACTTCTGAAGTGTCATATTTGGCTCTCAATGTATGGAGAGCTGAGTTATGCAGTGAGCGTACATATGTCTTGCAATCTCCTTCAGGCTTAAATGCGCCACAATTAATTATGTTTACATTCACTGTTGGGTTTGTAAATGGATTTCAGACTGATATATTTATCTTTATGATGACTACTTTAACATGTCAGGGTACATACTTTTTCATCCTTGAAAGGGGAAAAAAAGCAGCCTTCGCTGGGGTATCGTCCCTCGAGTTTAACACATGTTCTCTCTGTCACTTACTCTCAGCCAGCCATGATATTGGAAATTATTCAGCATTAGTGTGAATGGAGCCTGGTAGACTTGGGGTGTTACTCCCTTGCAGCTGGGTGTCACATTCAAATAGAAGTAAATTAGCTGTCACCAAGGCTGGGCTCGGGAACTGCTGCTATGCCTCAGAGACTATCCGTTTTCACTGGGTCTTTGCTCAGACTGCCAAGTCAATGCAAGACAACAAGTCATTATAGCTGCAAGAATTGAAGACGCACAGTATAATTAAGGGTGAAATGGCTTTTTTTTATCTGAGTATGAATTACCACTATAGACATGTAAACACTGACTTACAGACGAGAGAATATGCAGCGTAAAATCACCTGCTGTTTGCTGTATTGCTTCAAGAAAGCTGAAGGATTAGGTACTTGGATTGAATCTCTGCTTCTCCAACAACCAGACAGTTGCCCTCTCATTATCTACAGGCCGACATTAACTGTGGAGCTGCACTCATTACTAGCAGCAAAGCCCAAGGGATAGGGCAGATTGGCACAGTCTCCAGACAACAGGGTGACAGAGCTTGTCTTTAAAGCTGTCTCACAAATCCATCATTCCACCATTTCATATATATATATATATAGATGATTATGCTTAGTTGCTTAAATTTATTTCTTAACTGCAGGTCTATCATAGTTGTTTTCTTATGAAGCTCTGCTTTCCTCATCCCTAAACTTACGAGATATTTTAAAATGTATTTAAACTTATTTAATCACAACCTACTGGAGACAATTGTCTGATCGTGATGTTTTTCACACAGATAGCTAATTAGAGTGCAACATTTATAGTACAAGTCCCTGAGATTTTGAAAACTGAACGTCAATAATCACTAGTGAGAAGCTGAAGGACTATTGTGAGGCTTTAGTGACCCCCAGTGGTCAGATTGAGTAACACAGGCAATGATTTTATATTGAATTTACAGTGTTTATTATAACAATAAGAGAACGAAACTGAGAGAAAGGACCAACCTTGACTTAATTAAGATGGCATTGTGTATACTTTGTATTTACAGTACGTTAGACACATTACAAACACATGTATCTTGATTGCCATTCACAGTACAACATTGCTGCAATGGACCACACAATGATAAAATGACATGGCTGCACAATCAAGTATCAATATGATGCACACACACACAGAAGCATAAATAATTCACTTAAAGTACCAGTATACTGTACAAAATGTTCATTTAAGTCACTCTCTATATGAACTGTGTAGTGTTTGAGACAATAAATATTAACAGACGCACTTAAAACATCTTGTGCATTGATAAGAACAGGGACAATGATGGGACAGTTCTGAGGCCCCCAACTCGTTCTGTTGCTATAATCAGTGGGCCCTCATCATCATTGATAATGATAATAATAATAATAATAATGCACCTGTCATATACAGAATATACTTATTGTTTTTGAAAACTGCAGCCTCTGATTTCCATTTTATGTTTAACATAAATATCTAATCTCGTTATTGATCAAGAATTGATCAAACACAATCTGCTTTATTTTCAGTCCTTCATTCAATATGTTTTATGTTTATATACTTTTAACACAAGTCTATTCCAACTGCAACTACTAATTAATTAGTTATTAAATTAATGTTTCACTAAATAAAGTGAGTAATGCTTTTGCAATGATTTTCATTCTTCTGGAAACAGAACAATAGAGTGAACAGGCTCCTTCTGCTCACTTGAAACTTCTTTAAATATACCACTACAGCCTTTTTACAGTATTTTTTGTACTATGTACTGTAGCTACACACCCCGAAAATGTCCTTATTATTGGTGACATACTCATTGTTGTGTGCCATTGGCTTTCAGACACTGTGCATTGTATCACTCGTTATACCTCGTGACTTGCCCGGGCCTCGTTACACTGGTAAAATACTTGCACTGTTCATGGGCAATAAGTTAAAAATTGGATCAGATCTGTGAGGCAGATTATACATGCTGCCTCACAGGGTCAGCACCAGGGTCCCTGGAAGGTGTCCAGTGTATGTGTATGTGTGTATGTGTCTAGGAGGAAGAGTCCTCTTCCACAGGGTGGAGAGCGTGCCTCTTCAGCAGTGTCTTTAGTATTTCCACCTCACGCTCTGCCTCCCTCAGCTTCCTACGTAGTGTCTCATTGTCTTTCTGCAGCTTCTGGTTCTCCTGGAAAAAAAAAGAAGACTTGTACAGTAACTGCCTTTAAGTATATGTATTTGTTAGAGGAGGAAAAATTAACCTGACACTCACTAATTCTAGAGATTCATAGGTGGGTTTGCTTTCCTCTTCTGGCTCCTTCGACACAACAGACGCTCGGTTTTCCCACTTGGCACAGTGTCGCTGTTTTCTCTGGGGCACAGGGCTTGGACATGAAGTCAGGGTGGGTGCTGCTGGGACCAGTAGAGATGGCTGAGGTCGACTGGCTTCAGGGGCTGCGGAGAAAAGCTGGGGTCCCTCTGTCTGAGTGCCACTATGGACCCTCCCAGGCCTCAAATGGGAGGTGACTGGGGAGTCCGGGCTCAGGTCTTTGCTGTCATCTGGCGGGTAGGGGAAAGGACATTCTTCTGAACCTGTAGAGTGGGAAATGTGTAGAAAATGCAGATTGTTAATGATGATGAACTCAACTGGACACATATCTTAAAAGAGATCAAGCTCAAAGCAACTGGTGACCAAAAACCAAAATGACTCAACTTAGTATGTGTGAAACAAAATAGCACGTCACAAATACTCATTTGAAGAGGTGCTGTGTTAATATAGACCTCGTGTTTTTAAGATGTGTATTGGTGTGTCAATCCATATTAAGTAAAATCGAAAGTTCTTCTGTTCTGATTATAGTTTCTTTCTCACAGCAGGTGGGTAGCTAGCTTCAGTATTACTGTAAGTAAAACAGTTCCTAATGACAGCTGGAGGGAAATCACCCAGACAATAAACCCTGTGCCCTTGACTTGTTTTCTTTAAGCTGCAGAAAAAAATCATGTACATGACTTTTCTTGGCATCCGGTCAGTGTGTCAAGGAGTGATTACAGGAAACAACACTGTTTACTAGCTGAGCACCTGCCTTAGAAAATCTCTGCCACCAGATGGCACATGTCACAGGGACCTCCTGATTTCTGCCATGTTGGATGAATGTTATTGTCTTCATACTTCAGGTGAGAGTGTGCGTCTGTGGGAACTTGAGTAAGAGAACTATATTTGTTGGGACTGGGTGAGGAATAATACGTGTGTGTGTGTGTGTGTGTGTGTGTGTGCGCGCGCGCGTGTGCGTGTACGTGTGTGTG